TTTATATTTAGAATGCCGGCCTCAAACTTGTTTACCAAAGAACCTACTTCACTGCATTCGGGTCTATTCTAAAATCTGACATCTGTTGTCTTGTCTATGAGAAATAAGAGGAGGAAAGATAAGAGCCCTTAAAGTTTGCACAATCTTTGGTGTAGAACCACTGATCTTGCTATTTTCGCCTTTTTTCTTCCTTTCCCCTCATGGGCCTGCTCTGTGGCCCTCACTTGCATTTAAATGTTATATTCCATGTGTTTATTTGTGAGCTGCCTTAGTTCTTCAGTGTGGCTAGGGCTAGGGCCTAGAAATAGCCACGCAAGCAGAGTTCCATCTTATGGATTCATTTATCCTCAACGATAGTAAGAAATCAAACAAGATTGTAAGCTCTTGGGGGTAGGGATTGCTTCTCCCTTTGTGTTCATACATTACCTGGCACAGTGGGGCCCTGATCTTGATTGCAGCCTCTGGGCACTACTGCAATATCAAAAGGTTATTCCTTCCTGTGGTATTTAGACCTTATCCTGGAAATATACATCCTATTTTAAAGAAGAGTGTTTTTTCTATGTGTCTTTTTCCTAATTTCCTGTTTATATTTCTTTCTCCCAATCTATAGTCCAGGTATCTAATCTTGCAGTGATAAGAACACTGCAGCACATTGTTTTGTAGGTTTTCTAGTATAATAACCTTTGAAAGAGCAACTTTTATTTCAGCACCACATACAAGATCTGTATTGATACTCTAGGCATTCCCATGGCAAGAAGTCATGAGCTGTAGAAGTTGGGTTATATGCGTTTTAAAAAGCAGAGGCTATTGTTACTTTAAGCTGACATCATTTGTGACATGGGCCATATGGGAGCTCTATGTAATAGACAGTACATACATTTCTAACTTGTTTTCATAATCTATTTAACAAATAAAAGAAAATCTAATGTTTAATATTTAAATAATGTTTAATTTTTAAACAAAGGGGTTTTTGTTGTTTTAATCCATTATTAAAACAGGATAGAAATTTTGCCTACAGCTCTCTATGAAGGACTTCCATAATGCAAGTGTCATAAATGATGATGGTTTTGGTCACCATTATGTAGAAGGTTCATACAGTAACTGTGATTTAAAGTCTCTATTTTCAAATAAATTTGACTGTGTTTTTCACCTTTTAAACTTTCATACTGCTGGATGACTAAAACAGGAACATTTTTATCTTTCATGATAGAATTAAATCTTTTTTTAATGTATTTATAACTCTTGAATCATAATTAAGAAACAAATGTGTAAGCACTACATTTTTTGTGCAAAGAAATGACTGATTATAAAACTAGGCATTTAAATTCTAACTATTATGATTCTAGCAACCTGGTAAAATGTTATGAAAAAAATATGATTTAACAAATGTTAGGGGCACAATTAAAATATTTTGATTACCCTAATATCTTGTCTGGGGCAGAACAATTTGATGGGTAATAGTTTCAAGAAGAGGACCACGTTTATTGTGAGATGTTGATTGTAGTTTAAAAGTTCTATTTGTCTTTTTTGGCTCCTGCTTCATATTGTACTGCAGGAAATGGTGGTAATGAATAAGTATGGGGTGTGCATCTTTTCTTGGTTAGTGATGAATTAGTGTCTGACTGCTGTTAGTGGGCCCTCTGTTGCTTAGTATTCTGTTTTTCTAGTATAGAGGTACTGATTACCTTGTTAAAAATGCCATGCTACTCTTTGCAGGAGTAACAGTAATACATTGCAATTATCAGACAAAACTGTGTAAAGGACATGCAAAGGTCCAATGTACCACTTCTCTTAAGAAGTGTTGCACAGGCCTTCTGAACCGTGGGGGAGGGGGAAGAGTGAGCAGGAAGAATTTCACTAGCAGTTTCATTTTAGGGTCTCAGAAGACTTCCCAAATGTTAATTAAGCTGCTGTTCAACCTTAATTCAGCCCCCTTGTGCACATGCATTGTGATAGCTTTAATTAAATGAACACATGCTATTTTTTTTTCAGAGGACTCCTGCCTCAATGAGTCCTCTGAACACAGAATTATTAATTTCCTCGTGGACTTTTCTATGGCATTCTCCACTATATTATCTGAGTGCTTCATAAACAGAAATGAATCTGTTTTCACAAGACCTCTGTGAGATGAGGCAGTATTATTTATCTCCATTTCACAGATGGAGAACTGAGGGTAAGAAATATTAAGGTAAAAAGACACCTAGGACCTAATTTTTCAGAGTACTTAGCATTATATAGCACTTCATATGATCGGAGGGTAGCTGCCATTGACTTTATTTGCAGTTGTGAGTGCTCAGCCCTTTTGTCAATCAGACTGCAGGATGTCAAGTTGAGCATCTGGTATGTGAGGCATACACAATTAATGACCACGTCTGAAAAGTTTGTCTTAAGTGACTTGATTGGCATCATGTAGGAACTCTGTGGCAGAAGCAAGAATAGAAATCAGTTCTCCAGGGCAGCATTCAACTGTCTTTACCATGAGACTGCCCTTTCTCTTCCTGCAGACCCCTGCCTCATTCACTGCATACCTTCCGAGCTTCTGTAACAAATCAGGTAGGGATACTACAGACAAGACAGCCCTTATTCAGCTCCAGAGGAGGTCCATCATTCACACTGAATGAAGCAGGGGTCCTGTGGAAAAATTATTATGCGATCATAAAGACTGTATCATAAAGCACACACACAGGGGGCTGAATTAAGCTTACACTCTTCTTCCTCTTATGTGGCATCTCCATTACTGGAGGTTTGTAACCATGGTAGCCCATTCTGTATGATCCTCTGCTAATCAATTTGTGGATAAATAATCCTTTTGATCCACCATTTATACCATCTCATCTGTCCAAGATCATCTTTTTCTGCTTAGTGTTTTTCTGTCGTCCGCTTTCTCTTCCAGTATCCATAACATGTATTGACTGCTGAACCTCTTAAAATTTGCCCTGCAAATTGAATCTTTCTTTTCATAAGATTTCTGACTAGCATTTGCTGAGTTTCAGTCATCTCCAATACGGTCTTGTTGGTTACTTGGTCTATCCATGATATATTTTCAGATTTCTTATGTAACACCATAATTCAAAGGATTGTAATTTCTTTATTATCAATATTTTGGATGTCCGTGTTTCATAGCTGTAATTTAACACAGACCAAATGTAAGATTTTAAGAGTTGGAATTTAGTCTTCACATTTATGTCCCTTCTCGCAGGGCTCTGGAGCTGTGCTCCGGCTCCAGGCAAAAACCTGCAGCTCCGCTGCTCTGGAGCTGCTCCGCGCTCCAGCTCTGGGCTCCGCTCCAAAGCCCTGCCTTCTGATCAGATATTTAGGTTAAGGCAGCCTTAATTCTGGCATTTCCTAGCTTTTGAGTGCTTGACTTTGCAACCGTAGTAATATTCTTTTTAAATAATTTTTTTGTATGTAATTTCCTAGGTTTTTGAAAGAGGAAACTGAACATACAAATTCCATCATGTGGCATCATATTAACACCCCCATGGGTAATCTGCAGGGTTGGAATCTTTAGCTCCACCACGCAGACCTCTCTCACGTGAGCTAAGGGGGTAACTGATAGCAGGTAGAAAAGTCTGTGCCACAAGAGCACACTCCCTTCCAGAGCCTGGAATAGAACCCAAGACTTCTGAGTCTCACCATTCCTTTGCTGTCAGCAAATATCTGTGAAACCCACTGGCAGAGTGTCCCATCTCCGTCCCAAGTGGTTGTCTAAACAGCATAAATATTCTTTTGTCAGCTATCACATTGAACATTTGGGTTTGGGGAACTCTGTGCTTCCTGCTCATCAAAGAACTGAAACAATGTTCTTGAGGCACTGAATTACCAGCTGTTGGGCTCTGACTAGAGCTGAACTGCCAGTGCCATAAGGAGTTAAAAATCTTGACGAACTAGCGGAACTCTAACCTGTGTCTGGTGTAAGAGATCTGAGACCAAAGAGCAGGGATCCAGTCAAATGATACCTTCAAAGAAGAATAACGGATGGTGTGTAATTTCCCTTCCATGTTGGATGAAATGATTTTTATGTATGGTTTTATCAAGCCCTTTGATCCTTCTGATGAAATGTGCTATGAACGGAAGATAATTGTCATATCACTGTGACCCTACTCGTGACATCAACTGAAAATTATCTCACCAATACTACAAGCTGCTTCATAATATAGCCTTTCTGTTTCTGAATATTATTCCACTGCCATAAATGCTTTAGTCATCATTAATTATGTGGAGCCTTTTCTTATTTTCCCTTGAACTTAGGAAATTGTTCCAAAGTTATTACTTTGTCTATCATGTAGAGACCCAGGAATTTGATAGGCACAATATAATTATCAGTTTAGGGTGGGATTTTCCAAAAGCACCTAGGGGCATTAGGAGCACAAGTCTAATTGAAGTTGTGTGCATGATGTTAGAATTCTAATGTTCTATATTATCAACAATTCACTTCCAAATAAGTTTTTCCCCCTCCAACTTTAGGCTATGTCTTCTGATGTTAAAAACACTATCCCTGGAGCAAAATCTGGGTATTTTTAGAAAATGCAATCTTTTAATATCACAAAATAAAACCTAACTGTACTGGGCCAGTGCAAATCTTCTTTAGGAATAAATGGATTAAAATATACACAATTGTAAAGAATAAAATTCCAGCTAAATTAATAATTGTCGTATCACCCAACATTCATATCTATATAACAAGGAGAAACAAAGAAAACATGTTGAAATAACATAGCATTACATGATATGTTAAATATTGTGAATTTATTTTTGAAGAGTATTTGAGAAATTTATTAATCTTTCCACTGTTTTTAAAATGCTTCAATGTAGATGCTACAAAAACACCATTTCCCCTCTTATTCGGTTAACCAATTTATTTTTAATCTGCATAACCTCACATAGTATTTTCTCCTGTATCTATTACTTTAAAAATATTTTGAGATCAAGATATCTGTCCACTGTGTTGTTAGATGTGAATTCTTTATATTCTGGTTGTTACTGTTTTGTGATGACAGGGAAAGATACAAGTATAATGGGAAGCTAGCGTTAAGGTCACATTCTATGAGTCCACCTCACCGGTCAGATGAGGACAACTGTGCCATGCAGATGCCTGTAAGATACTTCTTTACTTTTTTGTAATAAATTTGATCTTGTTTCAGTGAATTATTTGTATGTAGCCCCATAAAATTGTCATTTCTAATTGTAAAGGTCATCCCTGTGTGCGGGCAGAGAAATGTAGCAAACAACAGTGGGAAGGACTGAAGCTCACCAAAGTCCGTGCTCTGCAGTTGCCAAAAAAAAAAATTTACATTGATTACTTGCACTTTGTCCTAGGTGGATGACCCTGATTAAGTGCAGAACAAGGCTGGTCAGCTGCATTGTTCCCATTAAACAATTTAGCAAATTAACTGCTGTTGATGTCATCTTGTATTTTTCAATCATAGATTAAAGAAAACTGCTGAGGCTTTTTTGGCTGCATTTAATGATAGTTGACCTTTTGAAGGACTGTATTTTGGACTGATTGTTTTATCCAGTATCAGACAACCAGTGTTATGGCTTAGCAAGAGAGACTAAACAGACTTCATATAGAATCTTTTATCGTCCCAAATATTTGGTGATGATATGTCAATTGCAAGCAATTTAAAAACAAAAGTTCTTGCTAATAAATGTATATAGTTGTCAATATATATGCTATTTCCCTTCATAAATGTGATATCTCTAGACTGTAGGTGGTATCATATTCCATATGTAATTGACATGTTTTTCAATTTAGTAGAGGTGCTAGACACTTCAAAAAAGTGTCTTATTGACCAGTATTTGCTTTATTTGAAGCAAAATAAGTGTTTAATATGAAACACTATTTTATAAAAGAAAAGGATGGTCTTACATTGAAGACTCTGGGCTGGGGATTTAGGAGATCTGGATCCTGTACCCAGCTGTGCCACAAGCTTCCTGTGTGACTTTTGGCAAGTCACGCCATCTTATTTTGCTTTCCTTCGTTATCTCAGGGTTGTCTACACAGTGCCTTAAGTTTCCACAAGAGTGATGTAAATTTTAGTCTGCACTAACATGTTGCATACTAACTGGCCTTTGTGGACCCTGCTGGAGCGCACTAACAGTTCCTTTAGTGTGTGTTAATGTAGTCCAGTTTCAAACAGTACAATGTTAGTGTGCACTAGGGAACTTCTAGTGCCCACCAGAATGTGGGCCAGTTAGTGTGCAACATACTAGTGCAGACTGAATTTACACCTCTCTTGTGTGACTAAAGCTCCGTGTAGCCAAGCCTTCAGATACCACTGTGACGAGTGCCATAGAAAAGCCTATAAATAAAATAATTCTTTTTAGCTTTGCTAAACAGTTTGGTTGTTTTGGCTGCCTGGAACAAATAGCATGGTATAGTCTATGATGTGCAGATGTTCTGGCATAATTCAGTCCCAGGTAGAGGAATTAGGGAGTTTACTTAAGAAGTAAAGAACTCCCTCAATTGTGCGCTCATTCCTTGAACTAAAAGCTCAGTTCTCTACATGGTTATGGTGTCTGAATCAGAACACATTTTCGAACAAAGAGAAGCTTGCATGCGATCTTAAAAACTTCTAGTTAAAAAAACCTAATGAGACAAAATAATTCATGCTTCCGTGCATTGTTTTTCTAACTACTGTAGTTTACTACAATTAAACTTCTATTATAGAACTGAAATAGAAATGCCTGGAATATTTTTTTCGAAGTCTTTTTAATGCATTAAATAAAATAATTAGTTACTGTTATGCTACAGTGAAACCCATTGTGAAAGACACTTGTAGCCTAAAGCAATCACCAGTCACTGCTCAGTGTTGGAAACTGCTTTTCTGGTCTGGAGCTGGTCTGCTGCTCCTCTTGGCTCTGGTGGTGGCTGTTCTGCCCAGTATCACCACTCCCTTCTATACTACAGTTCACTATCTTCAGCCATCCTCTATTTTGTGGCTGGTCAATGTGCTTGTTCCCCATCACAGGTAGTCCCACCCAGCTCTGTTTTGGGGTATTGCTAGGCATACATCAGTTCCTTGCAGAAAGGCGGATTTTGGTCTCATCTTATAAATTCACTCCCTGTGAAGGAGGTCACCACTAAGGCAGACAGGGAAAAAAAGTATGTTCCATGAAAAATTTTGAGGTTCTAAAATTTTGTTTCCCTTCCACCATGGAACGAAACTGAGACCTTTTGAAATTTTTCATGAAAAGTGTGAGAGAGAAACTCACACACCCCAGCATAGGAATATCGTAATAGCTGGGGCATTCACCTGGGATGTGGAAGATTCAGGTTTAAGTCATTGCACTGAATCAGACAGAGCAGGGACTTGAACCTGCATGTCTCAGGTGTGTGCCCTCACCACTAGTCTATTAGTTATTCTGGGGTGGGTTTTTCTATCTCTGATGTTGATTAGAAATTCCATTCTGGACCTGAGAAACCATCCCAAGAAAAGTTTAGTGAAAATGGATATGTTTCCATGAAAAGTTTAAGTTTTGACAGAAAATGCTAATTTGACAGAAAAATGTTTTATTGAAAAATTCCCAGCCAGCTTTAGTCACCACTCTGGAAACCTGCTTGGCGGGAGGAGGGGTATGTGGGGGGAGGGGAGGGTGTGTTCTTTCCGCTTTTATAATGCAGTTATATTTGTTGTTTTGTTACATTTTGAGGATATGGAAAGGGAGCAGCATTAGGCACAAATTATCTAGCAACAGGTAGGTGGTGGAGCTACCTGAATTGAAGCCAAGAGGAGCAGCAGCCCAATTCCAGACTGATGGTTTCTCGGGGGAAAAGTGAGTTTTCAAGGGGGACCAAAACTCTTCTTTCTTTTGATATGGCACCGTATTTTTTTTCCTTTGAGGGCAGTATGGTTCAACTAAAAGTTTCTTTAAATTGTATATCGGTCCACTCTTCTAATATCTCCATTTTCATATTCCAGGGAGATCAACACAAAAAACCCATTTCTTTGGACGACAGTGATCTTGAAGTTCGTCTCAATAGTTGGAATCTTGGGGTAAAATAAACAGTGTATTTATTTATTGGCTTTAAATGAAAGCTGTCTGGTAATTTAGTCTGTTTCTGAAATAGTAAACAATAACTTGGCCATTCCTTTTAGAGATGGAAACCAGTTGGAAGCAATCATGACACTTGGAAAGATAAATCATGAATAAATGTCATTTTGAGAAGAAACTGTTAAAAAACACCTCTCTATATATTATTATTTTTTAAGGGATGCTGGCATAGGCTCAACACCTCTACCTTGGTGTAAATCCAGTGATTTGCATAAATCCCTTGTGAAGCAGCCTGCAGTATTGAGGCTGATATTCCTGTAGAGTCGTGGCTTCCTAACATATTTGTAAATACTGTACTTTGTTACAAAGTTGAATGTTGACAGACTTTACTTTAGCTTGTGAGATAAGTCATCTTTCATCACATAAATTAAATCTGAAAGAGAATACTTCATTCTGAAAATGAGATCGGATGGAGTTCTCCCGCCACCAAGTTCCATAGACAACCTCAGCATATATATTTATTGGATGTTGGCAGTAATGGATGATAGGGCTCTCTGTGCTTTATTTCCACTTTTATCATTAGTAGGACTTTAATTGGGCTTAAAACATTTAGATAGGACATTAACATTTTAAAATATTCCAGCCAGCATATTTTCAGTCTGTCATCTCTCCTTAGGACACAGACATATTTTTAATAGTATTTTAATGTGCTGTGTGTTTTTGGCATTACAATCTACATGAGGCAAATACATTTAGACAATTAATGTATTTCTTATAAATAGGACGAAAGGAGTTGTTTGTTAAAATCAATTCAATATTGTATTTAAAATATTCTGTATTTTTTCGTACATTTGTGTGTGCATACAGATTTAGCACGTCAGGTTTGATCTTTTTCTGTTGATCTTTAGCAATTCAAGTTTTCTAGACTTGAACAAGTTTAGATTCTACTTTGATTTAAGATAGCTACCATATTGAGATTTTTCTCTCTTCATTCCTTCAGTTACACTCCTCACTATCTCATCACTCATCAGTATGGAACCTGAACAGCAGGGATTTGATAAAGTCCCTACTCTTTATAGCAATATTCTCTCATGATATTTTGTCTAATCCTTCTCCAATTTGATTAGGATTATGGATCTAGTCTAGTGGATCTGGAATCATCCAGTTTTCATCCAGTTGAATAGGTTTTTTTTCCCCTCACCCTTTTCTTTTTTCATCAGTTTTTCCACTTTGTATTTATTTCTGTGGAGCCAGATTCTCAGAAGATTGTTTGGATACTTATTGTACAGAAGTATAATTAGTGTATAGGTTTTGTCTGAGTAAGGATTTGAGGATTGGGTTCAGTGTTCTGGAGTGGTGGTGGACACTCCACACTTAATGCTGAAGCTTCTTCATATAAACCCATGACTTTACCAAAAAGAAGTCAATCCCCCTGAAATTTCCTATGTTGTATCTCATCGCAGAGTAGAGTTTTCTAGAGAGTTTGGAAGAAATTGGGAAAGGAATGTTACAGTTACAATGTTTGAAGAATTTTTCTGTCATTCAGTTTTCAAAAAGTTTTCTAATATTTTTTGATTTGTATCTTCAAAATTGCTATAAATGTGTTTGATCTTGCTGAGGTGCCATTTGCAATTCTAAATTATTTTCTTTTTTTGAGGAGTTTGGGATTATTTCAGGAACAATGAAGATATAAGAGCTGTTTGTGTGTGTACAGTGCAATATTTAAAAAAAGCATAAAAATTCAAAAGTTGCTCATATAAAATGGACCTTTCATTAACTCCAGGCTTTGCTACAGCAGCCTAGGCTGAGCAAGAGGTGTGGGAATTACTGGGTAAGTGATGGAGGAGGGCGTGGATGGGAGAGAGTGGGAGACTGTTGGATGTATGGAGATGGGATGAAGAAGAGCACGGAGGGCTAGGGAATAGAAAAGGGGCATGAAAGGGGAACAGGGGAAAGCGAACACTGAACTGCAAGTGACTGGCAGAGGCACAGGCAATATGCTTCCTATTAAAAGATCCATTTCCAATATTACTATAGCATCAGATCATTACTCATGTAAAAAAATGATGGCCAAGATGTTCAGAAGTGACTAGTGATTTTTGGTATCTGTTCTTGGCTGCCCAACTTGACACCTTAAAGGGGCCTGATTTTCATAAAGTACCAAGCACCACCCTCTGAAAAACAGGCCCCTTTAAGGTATCTCCTACTGGGCATTGAAAAATTGAGATACTCCAAATTGCTCATTGCTTTTGAAAATCTTGGCCTACACAGTTATGTAAATCTGCTGCACGATATAACCCATCATATCACTAAACAGATCAGTTATTCATAAAAATGTTCGTCTACTCCACCAACAAAATCATGCAATGAATAAACTTACAGATCTCTGAAAAATTAATATATTCTGAGAGTATATTCATTTGAAAACCTTTCCTGCGTGGTTAACAAACAATATACTCAATAGTATACCTCACACATTTCCATTACGAAACAGGAAACGTTAAGGTTGAAAGGCTGTAATAATATGATGTGGTGAAAGTAAGTATTGAAGGATTATATTGCATTGAGGTACTGAGTGTTCATTTAACCTTTTTTTTTTTCTTGATGTAAATCTGTAACTTTTTGGTAGGGGTGGAGGGGGTGGAGGTAGGAATGTTAGCTGGGTTCAGCTGAAACACACTTTCAACCTGAACACTTTGTTTAAAATGTTGTTTATTTGGGTTAAGATAACATTTTTCTAGTCTATCTTCCATTTGGTCAAATGTCCGAATGCTGCTTATTTTTTTTATGCTGTGTCCAACACGTATGGACATAACCATATTTAGAAATCTTGGCCAGTGTTTTGCATTCATGGTGTATGGTTTTCTTCAGTAAAAATGTAAGCGATAACAGAGAACTTCTGTTTTTTTGCTTCTTTTTCACAGTATTCTCTCTCATGCTTTGGTGCCTGTTGACATTCTAAATGTAAATTGCACACTTGCTTTTCTTCTTCCCAGAAGAGGAAAAGCTTGACCTTGAGCCAGTTCACTAGCTCTCTGCCTGCTTGTTCCAAATCTAAAGGGGAGATGAACGAAAGGGCACTAGATGCACCTTCTTGGCCCTGAGAGCAACTCAACTTTTATACAGCGATAAAAGATCAATTTCTACCATTTTAAGACTTCTCTGAAAAACACATTTTTAAAAGATTCTAAATTACATACCGTGAAATTACCTGAATACTAAACTTCCAAACAGCCTTTTCAGTAGTAGTCGATGCTATACAAGTAATTCCTTGCAGGGGACAATAACAAGAACTTAACAGGCATTTGCAGACTATTGAGAAGTGCATTGTATGAATATCTAGATAGATTAGATTACAAAAATGTGCACGTTTTTTAAACATGTTAAGTATTTGAATAGTTGGGGAACTTCAGTCTCTGGATGTTTAACAAGTTATAATTTAGGGCTGTCAATCGCAGTTAGCTCATGTGATTAACTAAAAAAAATTAATCGCGACTAATCCCAATTTTAATCGCACTGTTAAACAATAGAATATCAATAACAATAACAAATAATAGAATTTACTAAATATTTTGGATGTTTTTCTACATTTTCATATATATTGTATTCTGTGTTGTAATTGAAATCAAAAAGTGTACAAAAACAAAACAATGTAAAACTTCAGAGCCTACAAGGAGATAATGCTGCTCTCTTAGGATCATAGAAGATTAGGGTTGGAAGAGACCTCAGGAGGTCATCTAGTCCAATCCCCTGCTCAAAGCAGCACCAACCCAAACTAAATCATCCCAGGCACGGCTGTGTCAAGCTGTCCGTTTAAAACCTCTAAAGATGGAGATTCCACCACCTCCCTAGGTAACCCATTCCAGTGCTCCACCACCCTCCTAATGAAATAGTTTTTCCTAATATCCAACCTAGACCGCCCCCACTGCAATTTGAGAACAGCTAGAGGGGGAAAGAAGCCTCAAAAGACAAGGAAAGGGTTTAAAGTGAGGGCCAATCAGCTCCTGGCTGACCAATGAGAGGTTGAGAGCTCATAGAATCATAGAAGATTAGGGTTGGAAGAGACCTCAGGAGATCATCTAGTCTAACCCCCGACTCCAAGCAGGACCAACCCCAACTAAATCATGCCAGCTGGGCCTTAAAAACCTCCAAGGATGGAGATTCCACCACCTCCCTAGGTAACCCATTCTAGTGCTTTACCACCCTCGTAGTGAAATAGTTTTTCCTAATATCCAACCTAAACCTCCTCCACTGCAAGTTGAGACCATTGCTCCTTGTTCTGTCATCTGCCACCACTGAGAACGGGCGAGCTCCATCCTCTTTGGAACCCCCCTTCAGGTAATTGAAGGCTGCTATCAAATCCCCCCTCACTCTTCTCTTCTGCAGACTAAATATGTCCAGTTCCCTCAGCCTCTCCTCATAAGTCATGTGTCCCAGCCCCCTAATCATTTTCGTTGCCCTCCGCTGGACTCTTCAATTTGTCCACATCCTTTCTGTAGTGGGGGGCCCAAAACTGGACGCAATACTCCAGATGTGGCCTCACCAGTGCCGGTGAGGGGAATAATCACTTCCCTCGATCTGCCGGCAATGCTCCTACTTTTGTAGCCGGCATTGCAAGGTATTTACGTGCCAGATATGCTAAACATTCATTTGACCCTTTTTTCTCCGGCCACCATTCCAGAGGACGTTTCCATGCTGATGAGACTCGTTAAAAATAATGCGTTAATTAAATCTGTGACTGAACTCCTTGGGGAGAGAATTGTTTGTCCCCCTGCTCTCTTTTACCTGCATTCTGCCATATATTTCATGTTATAGCAGTCTCGGATGAAGACCCAGGAGATGTAGTTCATTTTAGGAACACTTTCACTGCAGATTTGACAAAACGCAAAGAAGGTACCAATGTGAGGTTTCTACAGATAGCTACAGCACTCGACCCAAGATTTAAGAATCTCAAGTGCCTTCCAAAATCTGATTGGGATGGGGTGTGGCGCATGCTTTCAGA